ACATGATTCAATGACCTCCCACCGGATCCCTCTCATAACAGGTGGGGATTTTGGGAGCTACAATTCAAGATGAGATTTCAGTGGGGACATAGCAAAACCATATAATAGATCATGGTTTTGTAAATAGAAATAAAACATTTGTAAATGATATAATTTATCCCTGTCTGATGAATGTTCTGATTTTCAGAGAAACATAATTATTTGCATAGTCCCAATTAGAATCTGTACTTTTTGTTATGAGAACATAATTTAATTAATTAGTTATGTAACCAAAGCCTTGTCTAGAATGTCAGATTTGATAATGATGCTCATTTAATTAGATATCATCAGATACTTTAAAATAAGACCGTTTGGCTCTATGTCACAAATTCTCACAGATTTCTCTTGGAAAAAATGTCCTGTTACCTGCTTATGAGGCTCCCAGTGGTACAGGTGAGCAAGAAAATACTTCCTGTTTGGCCCAATGAGCAGTAAAGGATGTTGTCCATATGCTGAAGACTCTGTAGAAAGATTTGATCCTTTCCTTAGCTCTTGAGAGATAACCCTTGTGCCATGGACTGAACACATGAATCTCACAAAATTTATATGTTGAAACCCTGATCTCATTGTAGTGGCATTTGGAGAGGCAGCCTTTTGGAGATAATTAGGTCATGAGGTTGGAGCCCTTTTGATGAGATTAGTGTCTTTATAAAAAGAGACTTGTTGAGAGATTCCTTCCTCTCTCTTTGCTCTTTGCAATGTGAAGAAACAGGAAGAAGTCTGCTCACCAAGAAGAGGACCCTCACCAGACACTGGATTTACTGGCATCTTGATCTTGGATTTTTTAGCTTCTATAGCTGTGAGAAATAAATTGTTTAAGCCACCAAGTCTGTGTTAGATTTGTTATAGCAGCCCAAGTGACTAAGACATCTTGGAACATCTTGGCTGATAATAATGTCTTTGTTTACTTGAGAGTCTTGGGCCATGCCAGATAGTCCTGACCAACATTGTAACTTACGGTGGGGGACATGTTGTATTAGCTTTAAGCTGGAGGGGCCAGAGGTAAGGTTAGTTATTCAGGCAGTCAGTTATGCCTATGTGACAGAATCTTGATAGCAACTTGGGACACCAAGGCTCAAGTGAGCTTCCTTAATTGGCAATACTCCTGCCTGGGGTCCATATCACATCATTTCTGGAAGAGAACAGCACTGTACATATGATGCCACTGGGAGGAGACAATGGGAAGCTTGCACCTGTTTTCTCCTGGACTCTTCCCTGTGTGCCTCTTCTCTTTGTGGTTTTTAGTGTGCATCTTTTCATGGCAATAAACTATAACTGTGAGAATAATGGCCTTTATGAGTTCTGTGAATCCTCTTAGTGAATACAATTCTCTTATAGTCCTAAGTACTGTAGGTGAAATCTGGCGGCAACTTGACTTAGCTTTCCAGCTTCAAGAGGCTTTTAAAAGTCCAATATGAGATTCTGTATAAAAATATCTGGTGAAACAAATTTAGAAAGACCCATATAGTAAACAACCATTTTTGATGCACCTATGTAGTCATGCCAAATATAATGAAATCATTCTTATTTTATGATTAAGAATAATTTTTATTTGAGATTATTTTACATCAAAAGAGAAATGGTTACAGAGAAAAAAGTTATGCTGCAGTGGAAAACTATGCATTCCCTATAGTTTATACTTCTGAGTTATCAAATAGTAGTCCTGTTTTTTGTTTTTAGTTCTTTTGAACCTCTTTTAAAATTATGGGTAAATGATGGGTATATAAACTCTGTCTTTTCTGGTAGTGTTTTAATTGACTTCTTCCCTATCTGTGGCAAAACAAGTTTTGGCACCAACCTGTAAATTGAACTGGAAATGGTCAGCTTGCCCAAATTGTCAGTCATTCTTATATTTTTAATTCTTTCAGTTTCCTTCAAAAGTGGCTATAATTCATCAAGCTTTTCAAGTTTTTCTTGTTTCTATCTGACTTGGCATCAAGAATTAAAACATACGCTTTCGGATCTATACTGGGACTCTAGGTTGCCTGGTAGCTGGCCCTTTTCCATAGAATCAGAAAAATCCCCATAAGCTGAACCCTGGCAATTTAATATAAACCTGAGCACCTCAGCAGACCACTCATGGGCCATGATTCTCCCTTGACAACCTACTGTTTGGATAACTTTGAATGTCTGGAAAAATGCTCTTGTCATGCATGCTCCTATGTGGGAGATTATGAATCTGATGCATAACACCAGACAACTCCTGTTCCTATGTCTAGAGCTTCACGAAACTCTTTTCCATGTTTTAAGCATCCTTTGCTTTTTAAGATGACTGATTCCCAGACCCTAAAACAACTGCCCTTTGTCATCACCCCTTAACAAATTGTTCAATGTAATTTAGAGGAAAGAAAGATCATCAAGAGTCCTCCAGAGACTATTTCTCAGACCTTGCTCTGTCCCCTGAAGGAGGTTTATGATCACTGCTAGGTTATTCAGCAACAAATAACACTTGTCTTTATGAAAGGAAGAATTGACAATGCTGAACTTTATCTGAGTCCTGTGCTCCTCGGAAGAAGTGATGATTAAGAAGCCCACCATCGTTCTGTGTTTCTGAAATGTCTAATCACAGAGGACCACCTAATGCTTGCATGTTCCAAGATAAGATCAACCACTATCATTTTTTTCTAAGATGGAGTTTCACTCAGTTGCCCAGGCTGGAGTGTAGTGGTGTGATCTCAGCTCACTGCAACCTCTGCTTCCTGGGTTCAAGTGATTCTCCTGCCTCAGCTTTCCAAGTACTTGAAATTACAGGTGCACACCACCATGCTCAGCTAATTTTTTGTATTTTTAGTGAAGATGGGGTTACACCATATTGGCCAGGTTGGTCTCTAACTCCTGACCTCAGGTGATCTTCCTGCCTTGGTATCCCAAAATGCAGGGATTACGGGCGTGAGCCACCGTGCCCCGTCAACCACTATGTTTTCTCATGATTCCCATAAGAGCTGTGGATGACTTCCTTGTTTGTTGACCTTGATAAACCCTCAGGTCTCCTGCCTTTCGCTTGAGATTTTCTTCTATAATAAATGTTTTTCCTATTGCAATCACCTAAATAAAATTATCGCCACAATTGCCAATTGCATTTTGTTTATCACAACAATTATAGACCTTGGAAGGTGTGTGTGTGTGTGTGTGTATGTGTGTTGTGTAAATCAAAGAATTAATTTTCACTTTTTTAAAAAAATTGAGATAAGAGATTAGTTGCAAAATGTAGAGAGAATATTTATCCACATAAAGGAGTCAGTGCAAAGTAACCATGAGCATTAAGCCCCTCGGAAATCCTCTTGGAATATCTGGAAGGGCATCAGAGCAGTGCTTCTCAAACTTTAATGCATAAACAACTCTTACAGGAGCTTCTTAAAATGAGATTCAGATTCAATAGAGCTAGCGTTTTGGCTCTGCTCTCAGATCATGTTGATGCTGCTGTCTATGGTGCTCACTTTCAGTAGCAAAGCTTTGCAGGACATGGAATAGAAGTTTGAGCTAATCTTTTCTAGATCTCAAGAATGACCCTAGCTGACATTGAGTTATACAATACATGCAATGATGTCAATGTATGTTTGGTCACTGTATATTTCAGAGAAACTTGGATATATAGCATATAGACCACTCTCATGACAGTGTTAGGAGGAAAAGCTAACTTGCTGCTTTGTTCCCAGGAGGTAAAATTCATAACCACAACAAAAGATGGTGACTTCTTTCAAGGCTATCTCATAATAGGTAAAATCAGTCAATAAGAGAACAGAGATTTTTCAAGAATCAGCTTGATGTAATGTATCATATAAATTTATACCTCATAAGTCACATGTTGTAAATGCAGTTTTAACAGCTGCAGCCTTTGCAGAGTTTTTAAAAGCATAGTGATTAACGCTGCAATTTTTTAACAAAAGCAAATGTTTACCTTAGTTCTCCTATTACTTTAAAAACAGGCATGAGGAATTGATGTTCATAGTATAGTACCAAAACCACATTAATATTTTAGTAATTTTCTGCACATGCAAAATTATATTGTCTCTAAAAGTATGATATCATCTTGGTTTCTTATATGTGTGGCTACCTAAATGCAGATTTTTTTTTCACCTGGACCTTGCTCCATTCAATTACACAGCCAGGCAGCAGATACTGTACTCATCTCCAGGATAAATTCCCATTAGAAAGCACAAAATTGAATTTACAGTATAGCTTGTGCCTTCCTAGCACAGATTATACTTTTGAATTTACAGTGTACGGTTTCACATGAGATGACTGATTCATTACAGATTCATTACAGTAAGGCTGCTTTTTCTTGTGTCACCACTGTTTTTTTGGACCTGGGAAATTCATACGAACCTGTACATTGGTATTCACCTTGATGTAAAACAAAGTTCCTGATGTCTAAATTTCAAGGAGTTCTGGAAGAGTTATATAGACAAATATGGTTAACAGAAATGAAAATTTTGAGCACATAAATCCTCCATCATAATTCTGAAATTATTTCCCTAGTGAATTCACCCATATACTCACAACCTTCGAATATAATAGAAAGTAATGGCCACTATCGTCACACTTTTCACAAGAGAGGATTGAATTGCAATACATTGCAAAGAGAGAGAAATAGACTAGACATGCTCAGATAAGTTGGGTTACCTAATAAGATAAAGAAAGTGAGCATATTTAATTGTGCAGTGAGCAGCAACATTATTACCTTTTATTTGTAGAGGTAAGAGGGAGTGTTTGTGTGTGTGTGTGTGTGTGTGTGTCTGTGTGTGTGTGTGTGTGCCTGTGCACACTGACACACATGGGTGGGTAGCTAACGTCAGTCAAACTGTATCTGGCTAATAAGAGACACTTTAAAAAACCTATTCCTGATCCTCACAATTAAGGATTCTATTTATACATTTCTATTTATGCATTTATAAGAGAAATGCTTTGTTTGATTAAAAAATATTCATTTACTTAGGGTCATATTTCTAGAATTCGAAGAATGCGGGTTTACCCTTTGTCTCCCAGTGTAAGAGTCACATTGCTTGTGCTCAGCAGTTTCAGAATACTATTATTCTAAGTGAATTTTCAATAGCTCACTTACATAGCAGATTAGGCAAAGATAAAAGAAGAAAAAAAATAACTGCAGGACACTTTATTTTCTTGTGATAATCTGGCAAAGTTATATGTTGTGATACTGACAAAGCAAATCAATGGCTACGGTACTTGTATTATTCTCTATCAATTCTGTTTTCTTTCACCCTTATTTCAAAATTTCTCTTGTCCAAAAGTCAACAAATTGTTGTGTTCCACCAATTTCTAGGCTCACTATAAAAAAATCCAGAAATGCAAACAACTCTGTGAGTTTGATGCCTCTATCATTGAGTTTATGGTACATAAGTTCATCTGTATTTCTGATATTTGGCCAGCAAGTATTGCCTCCATGATTACTCCAGATTTTCACAAACTCTCAAGTCCTCCACTCAACTTCCAGCTTCTTTTTCTCTTTACAGATACTCATTTAATTCACAGAAGGCATGGAGACCAATGTCTCCATATTCAAAGCAGTCTTGTATGTGTAGTAAGACAAACACACTCCCTCTAAATAATACTTTTTCCTTTCTTTTTAATTATTTGTAATATTTCTTTCATAGTATATTCCAATGACCTTAATTTCCAGGAATAATGTTAAATAATGTTGTTTCTTAATTTAATGCAGCCTTTAAAAATATTTTACCATTAAATATGAGGTTTCTCTAAGTTAATTTTGTTGTATTTTATTTATTCCTTTTTGATGTTTCTTTTATCTGGCTTCTCTAATTGGATTCTGCTTAGTGCATTAATTTTTAAAAATCTTCCTTGCTTTCTAAATATATTTTAGTCCATTTATTTGTTTTTGGGAAGGTATTATTTGAGCTACATCCTATAAATTTTGATACAAAGTGCTTTTATTATCATTCATTAAAAAATTTCATACATAATTTTTATTTAGAACAAAGTTTTATAATTTTTTTAGATATTTTTATGGGAGAAAAGGGAAGTCTTGCATGTTGATTAGAATATATGACCTACCTGGTTTTTACATTTTGGAATTTAAAATTATGTTTGTGCACAAATACATACCCAATTTTTGTACGTGTTTCATAGATGTTTTATAAACCTGTTATAGTTTAGGTTCCATTACTTACTGAATTCTTTCACTGAGATAATAATAATGTGTAGGGGAGAAAAAGATATTTTTTACTCTACATTTATAAGTTTTTGCCTGGGACTCCCTACAGCATACGACAGATTAACAACAGAAAAACAAACAAGTTTATTAACATGTATACCTCAGATATACATGAGAGATACCCAGAGAAAAATGAATAACTCAGAATTCAAGTGTATGTAGTATCTTCACCTAAAAGCAAAGAAAAAGGAGGATGTGACAGAGGCCAGTAATGGGAAAATGACCAGGAGAAGCGTAATAAACAAAAGTAAGGTTTGCTATGCAGATTTCAGTTAGCACCTTTCACATTGATAAGAGTCTTTTGTAATTTAACCATCCTTGTCTTCCTGGTACAAAGAGGGAGAATCCCTTATAAATGGAGATATAAATTTCTCTTACAAAAGGGTAATTTCTACTGTGTTTTCAGAGCTTATCGTGTTTCTCAGAATAATCAGCTCAAAACAATTCTTATGCCAAAGAGGCATTTTTGGTTTCTGCAGTCTTATTTTGGGGTGGCATATTATAGTCTCCTACAAATGCCCACCTTTTTGTTCTTAAAACTCTTCCAGAACTTTGGGATCCTCTTCTAGGTAGGTAGTTCCTCCTCTGTTTTCCTTGTAAGTCTTTGAAAAAGTGAACACATGTTGGATCTGCTTTCACATTTTCTGTTCACTCTTCAATATTTTGTAGCCTGCATTTCATTTCCAAAAGGCACCCCCAGTTACCAATCTAATTTCTTAATTGTTACATGCAAGGGACCCGTCACAGTCCTTCTTTTCTACCTTAGTTGTCTCAATTTGCAGCCACAATTTGGAGAAAAAAACTTTACAATTAATTTTCTACTCTAAGAATATATGTCTTCTTTTATGTCTCATTTTAGAAAGAGGCTATTTAATTTTCTAAGGTTTAAAAGAGTAGTGAGGTGATAGGAAATGAAGAAAAGGTAGTTAATATGTTTCAGTTGGAGAACTAAAGAGTGGAATATTAAAATTTATCTTCAGTTCAAGATTTAAACTAAGTCACTGTAAAATTCTTGCTGCATGTGTCGAAAGATGAAATCGCAACAAATTTAGTTTAGAGATCTACATTGGCTGTATTGTAATTCTAGAATTGGGCAACATTTCATTCCATAAACTATAATAACTGTTTCAATGAGTCGAATGGAGGAGTTTAGCTTTATAGACAGAAAAAAAGGGCTGAAGAAGGCAGAAATAAAGCACAAAAAGCAGATTGATCATTTCAGAGTCATTTTCCTTGTAAGGCAGGGACAGAGAGGCAGAACAATAGAAAGATAATGTAACTGGGGGTTGGGGTACAGGGGCTCAGCTCCCTCCCTACGTTTGCCAGAGATGTAACAGGGGGGAGGGAGCAGAGCTGCAGGGCATCCAAAGGTGCTTCCTATTGCATCGATCAGATAGGCGCAGGGCACAGCTCCCTCCCTGGTCCGATGTGTCCCTGGATGTGCCCAGGTCTTTGATCTCTCTTACTCCAGGAACAGGGAACGTTTCCCAGAGGCACCATGAGCTTACTGTTGAAATAAATATCTTGAACCCAAAGAGTTTAGCAGAGAGCAATTTATTAGGCAGAGAGATAAAGAGAGAAGGAACGAGAGAGCTCCCATGCTGTAGTGGGAGGGATTCAAGGGAGGAATCTGCACAGGTAAGGGGCAGGGGATTTTAACCCTGGAGTTATTCCCGCCCCATTCATGTTCTTGTCCAATGAGAGGAGTTCTTTTTTTTTTTTTTCCCTTTTTTTTTTTTTTT